TGAAATACGGGCCTGGACTGGGGGAACTGGGCCTGAAGGCCTGAAATACGGGCCTGGACTGGGGGAACTGGGCCTGAAGGCCTGAAATACGGGTCTGGACTGGGGGAACTGGGCCTGATGGACTGAAAGATGGGCCTGGACTGAGGGAACCAGGGGTGAATGGATGAGGGAGATGGAGGGGGAGGATGGATGCCAAAAGAGGAAGTGTAGCCCACGAGAGGGACAGGCAGGGGGGGTTGGATCCAACACACTGCAGTGACGTGATTCCCAGGCGTCCGGCCGCCCTGCACAAGCCGCTGACCCTGGCTCCACTCACCACCTTCCCCCTCCGCTGTGCTACATCGTGGGCCTGCTGCGCGGCCTCCTGTTCGGCGGGGGGGGTGGGGGTCCATGCCCAGCCAGGGCCGGGCCCGCGCGCCGCTCAGTCTGTCGGTCTTGCTGTTCCCAAAAGCTGCACGATCTGTTCCCCCTTCTGGCGTCGCCCCACCGCAGCTCCTCCCAGCAGGGCCCCCCTGCATGGTCACGTGGTCTTAAATGCCCCCCCCCATATTAACACCGCAAGTTTCAGAATGAAAGGCTGGGCACTTTAAATATTCTTAGACACTACACTCAGTGTAACCCCAGAGACAAAAACGGTACTTTTATCATGATATAGTACATTTTCTTGTTATTTATTCAAATTTCTGATCAGATACGTCCTTGAATGAAAATTCAGATGCTTTTATTTTGTCATGTCGCAGCCAAACATATTTAAAATGCCTTTTTCCTGCCTGCAGATGTACACAAAAACACAAACCATCACAGACACACCCAGATGCTGTCTTTCTGCATACAGAGTCATGCAGGCCGGGCTACACCTCCACTCGGAAGAAATACTGCTGTAGTGGGATCCGTCAGAGCCAGAATGTCATAGGCAGATCTATCAGAGCTGGCGTGTTGCACCGGTATCCATCACAGTCGGTGTGCCGCAGGGAGATCCATCAGAACTGGCATGTCATAACAGGGTCTTTCAGAGTCAGCGCATTGTAGCGGGATCTGTCAAATTCAATGTGTCACAACGAGATCCATTAGAGCTGGCATGTCATAGTGGGATCCATCAGATTCAGTGCTTCGCAGCGAGATCCATCAAAGCTTGCATGTCGTAACAGGATTGGTCAGATTTGGTGTGTCGTAGCGAGATCCGTCAGATCCAGCATGTCATAGTGGGATCCGTCAGATCCAGCATGTCATAGTGGGATCCATCCACCCAGTCCCTATCAAAGGTATTCCAGGGTCTCTTTGCAGATGCGGTCTGTCTATGTTTGCATGTGCAGATTTTTCAGGTTGTTCCTCTTGATACATTAAATCATTTTTGTGATTTACACTCTGTAAATTCAGGCCATTAATATTTGCCCTCTTTGGCTGCCTGTCCTTTGCCTCATGTTGCTTTTCATACTCACATCTCAAAGCGCTGATAGTCAGACCTCTGCTACAGCCGACATGCGTCCTGATGACCTGGGCTGAATTTCCGTGCCATGCTCATGCACATCATGCCTCTTGTGGGGAAAAATCCCCTTTGAAAATACACCCCCCCCCCTCAGCATCTCCCTAAATAAACCCTAACCCATAAATACACATGCAAATGAACAATAGCACAATCAAATATCTGGAATTTATATTCTCCCAATAAAATAATATTTTGTTGGATGGACATCATTTACACATAATTTAAAAAGATTTCTAAAGAGTACTGTATATGCAGTATACATTCATGCATTGTTCAAATACATATATAAACACATGTGTACAGATTGAGTTTGGCAAACACCCTGCCTCTCAGGGCCGTCTCAGCCTGTCAGTCTATCATCGGCCAGCTAAAAGCTCTCAGGCTGGGCAATACCATGAAATCGAGCCCCAGGCCTGATAAGGCCTTGTTTACTAAACAGAGTAAAAGGCAGGAGGTGGGGGTAGATTTATTCTCTCTTTCAGTGGGTGGGTATAGCGCTGAATGATGTTCAGATGGGTATGTGAATGCAGTGAGGGGTCAAACCCAGCACCTGGTTCAGGTTGCTGACAGAAGCTGGTCGCTTGTTTCGCTCTCCTTTGTTCCTTTCTCTCCTTATCTCTCCGCTGCCCCGAGGCTGACATTTCGTTCCTTTAGGAGGCCAGTCAGCATTTTGCCGAGAGCTTCCTGCCCTGCGCCTCTCGTGAGTCGTTACTGCAACATCAGTCAGCATCGAGAGGTCTCTGTCACGCCAGGACACTTAGAGAAATGTTGGGCGCCTTCGTCCTTTAATTTGTGTGAGCTTTGTCATGTTAATCTGACCGAGGCTCAAGATCAGCCCTGAACCGTCTCACATGTGGCCGATTTAAGCTTCTCACCACGTGTGTCTCCACACAGCTGTGGTGCCTCAGTGAGGATCCTGGAGCCCATTGAGCCTGAGAGATATAAGGTGTCAAATAAAGTCATGTCCATGAATGAAGGCTTAGCTGGGGGTCTGATGCACCGGGACTCAGCGATAACGTTTCAGCCTGGAATGGGACCTTTGTCCTTGACTTTCCCTCGCTCCTTGTTTTATGAAGGTCTCCTCTGCGTGCCCTTTGACGTCTCCTTGCCCTTGTTAAATGCTGAGCGGGTGTTTTGGCGGAGCCCTGGTGTCACCATTGGGTGTGACAGGTTGACTCCTGCAGCCCTGTCCTTCCCATTGAAGGGGTGACACAGTTGAAGTTTGGCTTTTGGGGCCTCCTGGTTTTCTTTTTTATGATTGGGAGGGGGGTGGGCGTTCTTATAGAATGGGCCTGCAGCTGCTGGTGTGAATAGCTGCCCAAGGTGACCAGGTCCCAATAAAGCGCCCCCCAACCAGATGAGGGCCCCCTTCCCAGCCATGGGACCGGTTTTATAGGCCGACTTACGAGCCCGGGCCCCTATTAAAACCTGGCAGGGCCACGCTGAGGAATTTAGGGCCAGGAAGCAGGAGGAAAATGGGTTTATGTGTCAGAGGGTGTAGGGCATGAGGGCAGAGGCTGGACGGGGTGATCGGGAGGTGAAAGATAAAGGGAGTTGTGTGCATGTGGTAAGTGTGTGAGAATGTGTTTGTGTGTGTGAGAGTGTCTATGTGTGTGTGTGTATGTGTGTGAGAGTGTGTGTGTATGTGTATGAGAGTGTGTGTGTATGGGTGAGTGTGTGTGTATGTGTGTGAGAGTGTGTGTGTATGTGTGTGACAGTGTGTGTGTGTGTGTATGGGTGAGTGTGTGTAAGTGTGAGTGTGTGAGAGTGTGTTAGTGTGTGAAAATGTGTGTGTCTGTGTGTATGGGTGAATGTGTGTGTGTGTATGGGTGAATGTGTGTGTGTGTCCATAATGTGATGAATGCCTGTTTTTTTCCCTTATAATGAAGATAAGGAAATAAAACAGAAAACCAGGAGGCTCCAAAAGCCCACATAAGGAAAAACTCAATTTCATAAAAAATTTGTGACTGCAATGAAAAAACTAAAAATGCAAAAACTCTTGTATTTTGCTTGGTTATTTATTGTTATGGTTAGGGCTGGGTAGGGGTTAAGGTTGTCATGGTTAGCATTAGCATTTTTCCCATAGAAATGAATGAGTGGTCCCCATGAAGATGGGTGGGTGGGAGGGTGTATATGGGTGAGTGTGTGTGTGTGTGTGTGTGTGTGTGGGTGGGTGGGTGGGAGGGTGAGTGGCCCAGTCTATATCCCTGTCAGTACTTAGCAGATACGATAACTGGCTCATACCTTCACACAGCCCTAAGCCTGTTCATGTTATTCCCATTAAGTCCTTCTCTTTGAGGGGCCAACAGAACATTTGCTGGGTCTTAAGTGAGCGACCATTAGGCCTCCACCCAAAGCCAGCATCCTACAGCCTTTACTGCCTCAGGCTGCTGTTGTTTCTCCCCCTCCTTCTGTTACGTCAAGTTCTTTGTAATCCATCCATCCATCCATCCATCCAGCTGTACATCTTCCAAACGCTTATCTACTGCTGAGTCACGGGGGCGTCTCTTTAATCATCATTTCCATCCTTCATTCAGAAAATCACATTTTGTTGTTTATCTGTCTCTCTATCACAGGCTGTGCATTGCTCTGTCTGTCACTCCTGCTTTTACCGCAGTGTCCCTGCCGATCTCTCCTGCACTGTCTCTACATCATTCTTAAGTAATCTGCACTAATCCAGCGCCCATATCGCCCTGCTGCTCAGATATCTGACATGTGTACTGCCTCTCTTTAAGGAGCTCACACACACACACACACACACACACACAGGTTTGACGATCGCTGTCTCTCTCTCTGCCTGATGCAGCGGTGGAAACTCAGAGCTCCAGCTCTGAGGAGATGGTCCCCAGTTCGCCTTCGCCCCCTCCTCCGCCGCGTATTTACAAGCCCTGCTTCGTGTGCCAGGACAAGTCCTCAGGGTACCACTACGGCGTGAGCTCCTGCGAGGGCTGCAAGGTGAGGCGCGGGGATGCTAACACACACAGGCTGCCACATACAGAGGCACTCCAAGCCAACAGAGAGAGGTGTCAGGATGATACTGAAAGGGAAAGGAACAGAGGTCAAGCAGAGGAGACATATTAACATTTAATCTGTTAAGATAGAAGCAAAGGGCGCAGATCACAGCAGCAGCAAGCAGGGACAGCTTTGCTGGAGTCTCACATGCGATTAAAGCAAATGTAAGATATAAGCGAATAGCACGCAGTGCCCCCTGCTGCTTGAATGTGGGCACTCACCCCTGTGCTGCATTCCTTCTGGTCCAGGGCTTCTTCCGGCGCAGCATCCAGAAGAGCATGGTGTACACCTGCCACCGCGACAAGAACTGCCAGATCAACAAGGTGACCCGCAACCGGTGCCAGTACTGCCGGCTGCAGAAGTGCTTCGAGGTCGGCATGTCCAAGGAAGGTGAGGGCAACACTGCCGCTTCAGCGCCCCCGTCATGTGACCAGCACTCAGCCTATTACAGCACAGCATTCATTCAGTATATGACTGTATATGACTGCACAGCGTATCCCTGGGATACAGGCTGTCTCTCACTTCCTTAAAGGGATCTCCTACTTTTGGTGCTGCCATCCATGTTTTAATATGTCTGGCAGTTGAAACTGCATTCAAGCATTTATTTCTGAGTCTGACAAAATGGGGGAGCACCGGTGAGGCAGGGTATGTAGGCAGAGTGAGGCAGAGCTATGAAAGGCAGGCTGAGGTGGAGCTTGGAGGCAGGATGGGACAGGGTTTGAAAACAGAATGAGGCAGGGTTTGGAGGCGAGTTTGGTTAGGGATTTTGAGGCAGAGGAAGGTAGTGTCTCAGAGGGATTTGGCTTGATAAATGATCATAAAATTGCTTTCTCACGAAAGACTGAGATACTTGTTTACTTGGATATACTGTTTAATTACAGTATATCCACAATTCTGCAATGTGACTTTGGGGTGGATTTGTACTGTCAGTCTGTGGACTACACTCGGTGTATTTGATCATCCCCATCATTCTGTCGTCACGTACCTACTTTCTGGGATGTTGCCATCGTTACTGGGCTTTTCCACTGCGTGTGGACCTCAGGTGCTGTACAGCCCAGCCAACCTTCTCCATGAGAAGCCTGCAGCTGTTAGCCCCCCAGTGGCCAGCCTCTGACATTACAGCTGTCTTCTGAGTTCTTGTGTGAAAGCGTGTGCGTTTTCACGAGGTCACATTGTGCCTCTGCTATAACTGGATATCCTGAGAGGAAGGAAGGCTGGGTGGGCTGGGGAGGATGGTGACTTTGGGACATTTTCTCTCATTGACAGACTGGATCCAGTGGGGATGAGAAAAGTAAGAGATATATTATGGTATATTATGTGTATGTGGCGCCAGAAGTTAACTGCATGACACAAAGATGAAGACAAGCAATGGCAGCATCACAGACATGATCTGCTTATAGTGTAGCAAAATATGCTAATCATTGGTATTGTGTTATTTTCATACCAGGAGAGCCTAACAAAAGAGATCAAACCACAATGCATCCATTCCTCTCTTTCTGTTTACCTTAAAAAGAGTGTGTATGATTTGTGAAGCATCTGATTAAAAGTTTTAATGCATTTTGCATTTACCTCCACACCTTACCTCATGGAATTGCCCCTCATCTTCTGCTTCGCCTGCCCTCCTCCAGCGGTGCGCAATGACCGCAACAAGAAGAAGAAGGAGGTGAAAGAGGAGGTGGTGGTGCCGGAGAGCTATGAGCTGAGTGGAGAGCTGGAGGAGCTGGTCAACAAAGTGAGCAAGGCCCACCAGGAGACGTTCCCGTCGCTATGCCAGCTCGGCAAATACACCACCGTGAGTGTCTTCCTCATCGGGGATGTTCCATGGGGTGTCTTCCTCATCGGGGATGTTCCATGGGGTGTCTTCCTCATCGGGGATGTTCCATGGGGTGTCTTCCTCATCGGGGATGTTCCATGAGGTGTCTTCCTCATCAGGGATTTTCCATGGGGTGTCTTCCTCATTGGGGATGTTCCATGAGGTATCTTCCTCATCGGGGAACAGCCATGAGGTGTCTTCCTTCAGGGATTAGCCCTGAGGCATCAAATTTGAAGACTCTCTTCTTTTCTTCTCTGTCTCCCTTCCACCACCCCCCTCGTTGTTCTTGTTGCCCCCTGGGTTTCCTCTACCCAAGAATTCCAGCTCAGACCATCGGGTGCAACTGGACTTGGGCCTCTGGGATAAGTTCAGTGAGCTCTCCACCAAGTGCATCATCAAGATCGTGGAGTTTGCCAAGCGCCTGCCTGGATTCACCTCGCTCACCATCGCTGATCAGATCACTCTGCTCAAGTCGGCCTGTCTGGATATCTTGGTAATTGCCTCTTGTACTCTGATGCGTTTCAACAGTTTCCTTGACCATTTCTATTGAGCAAAGCTGAAGTTGCTTCACCAAGCCAAATAATGGCCGGGTCAGACTTCATGGTTTGAGTTACAAAACACAAGGATTAGGTGAAATGATTTTTGAATATAATTCATAAACATTTGTAAGAAATGGAGTTTTGTGTCTGACACTACGGTCAGGGGTGTTGGAACCAGGGGGGGCTGAGGGAACGTGTACCCCCCAATATTTAATTTGGCTTCCTATCAGTCTACACCATGGACTGTGGTCAGAATATATGTGCACTCAAAATAAGTTACACATGGGATATGTCCCAGAAAAAAGTCACGAGTGAGTTACAAATTGTTTTGAAGCCTAAAGTGTTACTGAGGATTCACATTCAGAGTATGAAGTAGAATTCTGTTACTCCAGAGTCACATTTGGAGGATGAAACAGAGTATTATTATTACAGGGTTGCATGTCGGCTATGAACCAGACACACATATTGAGACATGTTCATATACATACATACCATGAAATAGGGACCTAGCTTCAGCTAAGACAGTACTGACACCTAGTGGACTGGTCTGTTGTTGCCTATGGGTGCGTCATCCAAACTAAATTTTTATTCAAAATAAACACAAGACAGTGCAATCGCTGTCTTTCTACTAGTGATTGGGGAATCATGTTGGGTTTTGACTTTATTCCACTCCCTGTTGCTTACTTTCCTGTTGGTTACTCCCATTGGTGATTGGTGGTGCAGGACTTTCCTCCCCATTGTGAGTTTCACTGCTTTCTACGCACCAGATTGTTCTATTACTGACCAGTATGGTAGACTGCTAACTGCATACAGCACAAACTGGTCACAGCAGCAGTAGGCAACCCTGATCCTGGAGTGCTGGTATCTAGCAGGCTTTCTATCCTACCTGATGAGTTACAATCTGCCTGAGATCAGATGTGGTTCATCAGAGACCAGTGGCCTGTACTACAAAGCGGGGTTACTGGCTTATCGGGGTAACTTGTCGAACTTAAGGTATCACAATTTAAATGGACTTCATATTCGTTCACTTACATTTTGCCCAGACTACCTTAAATCTGACAAGTTACCCCGATAAGCCAGTAACCCCGCTTCGTAGTACAGACCCCAGGTAGGATGGAAAACCTGCTGCATACTGGCTCTCCAGGATTAGGCTTGCCTACCCTTGGTTCACAGGCTCTTTTCATGTTACTTCCTTCTCTGTTTATCATTATTTAGCTTACACATGATTCACACCATGCTCTCTGTCACCCCCTGTTGTTGGTCTGCAGATGCTACGGATCTGCACCCGATACACACCGGAACAGGATACCATGACCTTTTCAGATGGGCTGACCCTGAACCGCACCCAGATGCATAATGCTGGATTTGGGCCGCTCACCGACCTGGTGTTTGCTTTCGCCGGCCAGCTCCTCCCCCTGGAGATGGATGACACAGAGACGGGTCTGCTCAGCGCCATCTGCCTCATCTGTGGAGGTACTGCAGTGAATTCCCCACTGCACCAGTGAACCACAGACTGGCTCCAGTTGGTCTAGATGGAATTATGATTCAGCTCCCAATTTTATGATTAAAAAAAAAACATTTTATACTCTGATACTAGGTGTATATTTGTAAAATTGTTTCCTGATTGGCTGCAATTTCCCTCATTATATTCGCAACATTGGCTTTTCCTCCTTGTATTTTAAGTGACTGATTTTAACAGTACATGTGATTGGCTGTCATTTTTCTATCGACCTTTTAACCGACTGACTATAACCGCATGTGTGATTGGCTATTATTGTCCTCTCTGTACTATGTGACTGATTGAATACACCGTGGTAGTGATTATCACACCTGTTTTGCACGCAGAATGTTCTGAGTTTGAACTCCAGTGGAACCGGTAGCGTCATAAATCCTTGAATCGTTAAGAGAAAGAGCGATTAATTATGCTGCAGGTTGCAGTGTGACTATATAGCTTGCATGTGACAAATGAAACCCTTGAAATGGTGTATGTGATTGGCTGATATTTTTGCCCAGACCGCATGGATCTGGAGGAACCGCAGCGCGTGGACAAGCTACAGGAGCCGCTGTTGGAAGCTCTGAAGATCTATGCCCGGCGCCGGCGCCCCAACAAGCCGCACATGTTCCCACGGATGCTGATGAAGATCACAGACCTCCGTGGTATCAGCACTAAGGGTGAGTACAGCCTGCTGAGCCAAGATCTTCTGCTTCCTGTAGCCATCATTCAACTGCACAAGGAGGCGGCCTGGTCCATCTTCCTCCAGGTTCCTCAGGTTCCCCTTGAAACGTTCCATGTCGCCATGACTGAGTCTGGCCAGCTTGTTTCTGGTCTCCCCTTGGCTGCTTAACTTTTTAATTTCCTGAGCATTACAGTCTCCTGTGTCTTCCAATATATGCCTAAATAATTTAACAGCGATGATCTTGCATGACTCACAGGGTGTGAGGCAGTTATGCCAACAAATTCAGTGTTGTTTTGAATTAAATTGACTTTAAATTGATCATGCCAAGAGCATATTAAATATTGGCAGGTGATTATGATGTCAGCACTTGTTTAGAACAATCCAAGAGACTCTTTAAATGGGGAAAGAGCTCACAATCGATTAGAGAGAAACGTGATTCACAGCAGAGTGATAAACGGCAGGAGCATTAAGGAGTATTAAAGCAGACGTGAGCGTGTTGGAGCTGAGAGCAGAGCAGAGGCTGTGAGCATGCAGAGGGTGGCTGGTCACTGACGTAGCCTCGTTTTTGGGTGGGCCGGGCAGGAGCCGAGAGGGCCATCACGCTGAAGATGGAGATCCCGGGACCCATGCCCCCGCTGATCCGCGAGATGCTGGAGAACCCCGAGGCGTTTGAAGAGCAGTCCGAGGCCGGCGATGGCCCCGCCCCGGCCGCCCCGCCCGCCATCACCATCAAGCAGGAGCGGGAGGAAGACGAGGAAGAGGAGGAGAGCGTCGCTAATGAGAACAGCAGCGAGCCGTCACCTGAGGAGGAGGATGACGAGGATGAGGACGACGTAGATGAAGAGAGGGAAAGGGGAGCTGACAGTGACTTGGAGGCCTGGGGGGCGCTAGAGAGCGCTGGCGAGGTGCCCAAAGGCAGTAAATGAGTCCAGCTACCCCTGAAAACTCTCATCCTTCCTCAGCCTGCAGGGGGTGCTGATCCTGCCCCAAGCAACTCCAACAGCAGACCCAGCACGTGAGAGAAGAAAACAGCACTCCCCTCCTGAACTTCATGAGGGTGCAAATAAGATGAGCTTTCTCAGAAAAAATAACAGTACAGTTTTTTTAATCTATTTTATTTGAAATAATGCCAAAATGTAGAAACACCAGCGCTGTGCACTGGACTCAAGGGAAAGCACAAGATGTCTCACAAGGTCTTCTTCAGGGTGCAGTGCTTCAGGGAGCCACCAGGGGCCACTAAAGACATTTGTAAAATGAACCCACAACATACCATACAACCAAACTGAACATGGTAATCGTCTGTTGTTCATGATTCTTACATTTGTTTAATTTCCTTTATTCTATTTCGTTTATCATGATATATTATTTACCCATATATCTATATATCTTTATATTATTGTCTTCGATTGTCATGTATGGCTTGGTTTATCTTTGCAATAATCAGTCTCTGGCTACAGTCTTTCCAAACACAGTTTGACAATTCACAACCGACAAACCTCTTCAATCTGATGTCGAGCTCTTTTACGCTCTCAGTGAGGACTTAACAGTGAGGGACCTAGCTTGAAAATGCATGATGGAAGATCTTAAATAGAGGCTGCAATGACTTTCATGGTTCAAAGTCTTTATTTGTCATATTGTGTCACATGGACACGACTCATGCTGCCAGGTGGACAGTGTTTTGTTTGTGCCAAAAGCGGCTCTTTGCAATGTGAGGTAATCAGGGTGTCTGTCAGGGACGCGGGTAGCATGCAGAGCCTCACGCGGCCTCACACGGCCTCACGCGGCCTCACACGGCCTCACGTGGCCTCTCGCGGCCTCACGCGGCCTCACGTGGCCTCTCGCGGCCTCACGCGGCCTCACGTGGCCTCTCGCGGCCTCACACAAGGACAAGCTGGACACGAAGAACCATACATCACAGCCAACGTGCACAGAACATCAGCCAGCTCTCAATCAGCTCCACCTGTGAGCTTAGCTGCCACTCCATTGGCTGTTTGCAGTGTGTATGGAGTTAGCAGGCACGTGTACAGCTTTCTCAGAGGTGACCGTGGAGGCAGACTGACGGCTCGTTCTCTGGGGATTCAGTTACTTATTCTTTCTGTCTCTCACTCTTGCAGACACACACAGCTACACACATCCAGACCCACAGACACACACACATCCACACACGATAGCATTCAGATCGTCGTGGGGGCCGTCCTTTCATTTCTATGACAAAAACCCTAATCCCAACAACAACAACCTTAATTCCTACCCAGCCCTAACCTTAACCATAAGTAACCAAGCAAAATACAAAATACACAAAATACAAGGTATTTTTGGTTTTTTGATTGTCATGGATTTTTATAAGACTAAGTTTCCCCTTGTGGGACTGGAAAAACATTTGGTCCCCACAATGTAATATATATATATGCCCGCCCACACACATACACACACACACACACACACACACACACACACTATTTTAGTTGATGACACTCCAGGCTCTTTAAGGACCAAATCCTTGCTACCTTTGGCACCCAGAGACAGTCAAACAATGCAGCCTCTCTGTCTGTCTCCTTGTCTGTCTGTCTGTCTGTCTGTCTGTCATACAACATCAGGAAAACAGGCAAAGTGAGCATCCCTTGTCAAAGCCATTCATCTCTGTGTAATCTCAGGGGTGTTCTCTTTGTTAAGTTCTTAATGACAGAACCAAGAAATGCACATAAATGACCGGAATGGAATATGCTTTTCATTCCTGGGAGCATAACGGAAGTAAACCTCTGCCAAAGTGTATCTGTTTTGTCTCGTTCCAGCAGTCAGATGAATAGTACTATGGCATGATAAAAAAAAAGCAGCCATTTTGTAACATTGCCCCCTAGTGGCTGGTCAGTGCACTGACTTCTTTACTATAGAGGATGTCGGCTTCGAGTGTCTACCTGCACCCAAATACTGGGTACCTCTCATTTCCTTGTTTACTGATGCTGAGGCAGAGGTTGGGCAAGTAACTCTACCTTTGTGAGTATTTTTTATTATTGTTTATTATTATTGTTGTTATTGTTGTTTCATTCGCTCATAACGTTCTTCTGCTTTCTTGAGATTACAATTACAGTACCTGCCATAAAAATAAAAGTAGAATAAACAATTACCCACTTTTTTTTATAAATCACATTATAACTTCCTTTACCCGGGATATTTTATGGCCATTTCCCACAATGACTTTTTGTTTTAGTTAACATGATACAACTTGCATTTACCCACATTCTTGTATGTTCCTTGATCATCCATAAATCATCCAGGATAGCCTCTCATCCTTCAGTATGACCATTCATCAGGATAGTCTCTTGTTTTTCACAGTATCCTCCCATCCATGAAAATACCCCAAACCCAAGCGAGCTCGATGGGCCGAATGGCCTCCTCTCGTTTGTATAGTTCTTATGTTCTTATGTTCTTATGTTCTTAATAGCCTTTCATCATCCAGTATACCTCCGCATCATTCAAGAGAACCTTTGATATTGAATCAGTTTTTTTGTAAATGGAGCATAAACCAACAATTTAATGTTTGAAGTTAAAGGACCCTCTATATTTTTATGAGCATGGACTCTTAGTAGTGAAAATGTAGAAAATGTTTAAACACAGTAACTCTACAGTATGACACAATGATGTTTGAGACTGCAAACTTCAGCAGGAAAAAAGTGGACTGAAGATTGGATGCAGGAGTTTTGTCCTCCACAGACAATCTGTCTCTCTCAGTACAGACCTTCAGGTTGACAGAACCTGTGTGGGAGAAAAGTGCTGGATGGTGAGCCAGTGTAGAATCACGTTATCAGTTTGTGCATCTGAAGTGTGCATCTGTGTGATTTCCGTGCTGCCTCCTTTAAGGGTTAATGCAGTTTCCTCCTATATTCACGGGCATTATGACAATAGTGGAACATTTTGGCAATATTGCTTTAGTGATCAAAAACCTGTGTTACCAGGTGAGGTCATCCATACATGTAGCAACAAACAGGACAGCTCAGGAGTCTCCACATGCAAACCCCGTCCTGATGTTTCCTGCTTGGGCTTGCAGCACTCATGCAGCAATCGCATGTTCGCTCTGGCAGTGCTGAGACAGACTGTCATTTCACCCCCAGCCTGTTGCCTCTGGGATCATGGACTGTTTTACACTAGCCTTGTTTTTGATTGTTTTGAAGGGGGTTTCTGGGTTTTCTAAAGGGCTTGTGTCACATATGCGAATGTTCCAGACTTATATTTGATTTTAAGATTTGCGTCATTACTGGACTACTTATTTTTTCTGATGATGAGGTTTCAGCTGCAGAAAAGTAGCAAAAGGTGACGTATATCCTTTCTGGGGTCTGAGAGTAAATAAATGATAACCCTCTGCATGCCGGAAATGCTGCCGTCTCTGCACACGCAGCCCAACCCCCCTGTATCCGTGTGCTTCTGAGTGCCCAGTCACAAAGCATCCTTACATCATCCCTTAGGAAAGTTTTATTCCTTAACATCCAGATTTTACAAATGTCGAGGATTGTATACAGCGTCAAAAACTGAGTCTGTCATGAGTATATCATGAATACATTGTATCTATGTCATATTTCACGAATATATCATGAATATCATGTATTCATGTTTGTTTTTGGCTTTTTTTTTTTTCCATCTGTGTCTTTTGCAATAAATGTTGAGACAAAACCTTGAAATGAATCCTGACCTTCAATTATACTGGTGTGAAATATGGGGGTCATTGAAGGGGGGAGTCACCAGGGGGCAGTAATGTGATACCAATGAAGAAGGTGTCAGTTTTAGAAAGAAAAAAGGAAGCCGTTTCATCCATCCATCCATCTGCAAGCATCTAACTCAGCTTCACCTGGAGCCAAAGCACCTTTATCTGGCTGTTTGTTTCAAGTTCTTTAGCGACAGAGTGATATATTTAGACAAATGAAAAAAACAAGGGGGCTATTCAGTGAAAAAAGAGATGGAAGAAAGTCAGAGTAAGAGGTACACTATCATACACATGCATACGCTCTAATTGATGAATGTCTTTTCAGAAACAGCAATTTTATTAACGAAGGGAAGCAGGTGATAAACAGAGATAGTGCTCTATTAATTAAATTATTGCGTTAATTAACATTCATTAAAAAGAAATTGATCAAGCAGAACTGGGATTACAACGTTTCATTATATATGCTAAATGACCTTGTATATTCACCCCCAATACATCGTCACCATGGGAACACCATGCAACGCTGCAGCTTTTAAAGAGCCAGTGTGCTATTTTATGCATTTGTACCCTGACAGAGGTTTAAAGCAGTCAGCTAGACAAGAAACACGAGGGTACACTAAAATAAGGGAAGAGGAAGGTCTGTATAAAGGCAGTGAAATAGAGGAAAGGTAAGCTCTGGATATTGACAGTGACAGAGATGAAGAGAAAGGTCTGAACCAGGGCAGTGAAATAGAGGAAAAGGAAGGTCTGGACCAGAACAATGAAATAGTGAAAGAGGAAGGTCTGGACCAGGGTGGTGAGAGGAAGAGGAAGGTTGGAACCAGGGCAATGAAATAGAGGAAGAGGAAGGTCTGGACCAGCGTGGTGAGAGGAAGAGGGAGGTCTGGATCAGGGCAATGAAATAGAGGGAGTGGAAGGTCTGGACCAGAGCAGTGAAAAGGAGAAAGAGGGAGGTCTGGACAAAGGCAGTGAAGTAGAGGAAGGTCTGGACCAGGGCAGCAAAATGGAGGAAGAGGAAGGTCTTCCCAAGGATTTGTGCTTGCAGGCAATAAAACAATAAATTTTATAGTGAAAAGAGGAAGAGAAAGGTCTGGACTAAGGCAGTGTAATACTGGTAGGTGGAAGGTCTGGACCAAGGCAGTGAAATAGAGGAAGAGGAAGGTCTGGATCAGGGCAATGAAACAGAGGAAGAGAAAGGTCTGGACCAAGGCAGTGAAGTAGAGGAAGAGGAAGGTCTTCCCAAGGGTTTGTGCTTGCAGGCAATAAAACAATAAATTTTATAGCTTCCCTGGAGAAGAGAAGAACCTGCCTTAAATATTAATAGTCTGGGATTGAGCGGCAGTCTGAGGCAGGGGGTGCAGACAGAGACCCAAACGGACTGTGAGATACAGACACGGGTTCGCTGGGGGGGTAATAAAGGCAGTGAGAGATGTGCAGCGGGCCCTGCCTCCTCTCTTTTTACATTTCTAATTAAAAGAGATAAAGAATGGGGGAGTCCTCAGTCTCACAGCCATTTATTAGTTAAGGTTTTAGAGGAGGTCATAAAACAGGAAACCGAAGCCATTGATTTTGTCATTACCTCCCCATCCCAGAGATGGAGGGATATGCAGGCTCCCAGACAAAAGGAAGTGAAATGAGAGAGGAGAAACAGGAGGGAAGGGCAAAGGCTCAGCTCTTCAGAACAGCCCACACTGCCTGTGCATGAGGAAAAAACGTTTCCGATTTCCATCACAGCACTAATACACCGAGTCTGACATTCACACATTTTATTACAGAAAACACTGTACACTGTGAGATATAGACGTATGAAATACATTTGGGGCTGAAGCATAACTGAGAGAAACCCAAAAATAGAACTTCAAAAACCATCAAGCAAGGTGGAGCTTTGGCGTCTAGCGCAGTCCAGCAGCATGGGGGGGTGGGTGGGGGGCAGACGCACATGGGAAAGGTGCTTGAGAGAACAACACAGACCCGGGATCTCCCCCGCTGGGTGAGGTGAGCATCAGAGAGGAACCGGGCGTGAAATCAGCCAACGGCAAGCATAAAGGGCCAAAAAGGTTAAAGTGTAATAAAGCAAACTAAAAAGCTGAGGAGGATATAAAGAAATTATTCAAACATGCACTGAAATGTAAAGACACAGTTTGACTTAATGAATAATATTGGACATGACCAGTTCACCACAACGGACGGACAGAGGTGTCCTGCCACACACAACCACACAACACACTCCAATGCAGTCACAACTCGGAGCACACCATCATCCAGAAGTAACACGTGCAGGTGCAAAAACCAAAAGCAGCACTGCGGGTCTGTGCGGCACATTGCTGTGCGTAATAGAGCGTGAGCCCCAGGTGATCAGCTAGAGTAACAGAAAAACACTGCCCAGGTAACGAAAGGACAGAAGGAACTAATGAAAATGTCTCGGCAGAAAAACGCTTGACTGGTTTCACTTGTGCTGCCTACAGAGACACAGGAAATGTGAAGCATCAGTGTGAAGTGTGTGAAGTGCATCAGTGAAGCAACGATTCTCCGACTCCGACCGAGAGTTTGTCCATTGCAGCGTCAGACTGAGGGCCAGCCGTCACAATGTATAACCAGAGTGTGGGGGGCGGGGGGGAGGGGGGTGGGCGTCCAGACAGACTGCTCCCTTTCGAACACGTGCCTTTATATTGCTAATGTCGACATGATGTCGTCCCTTCAGATATGAATGTGACACATTGGTGTGACAAAAAAACTGGTCTTTGCCGATCAGTCTGAGGCGACAGAAAGTGCACATTTGTACTGCTGGACTAGTATCATTAAGCCTGTTGGGGTTTGCAAAGACACTCCAATAAAGTAAAGTATGGTGCTGCCTACTGCAGTGAATCAAACCATTTTTAAAACTGCAAACACACACACACACACACACACACACACACACACACACAGATTAGGTATCTATGTCTTTGTGGGGACTCTCCATTCGTTTAAATGGGCATTATCAACTCCTACCCAGCCCTAACCTTAACCGAAAGTAAGCAGAAAAGATACGAGACTTTTGGCATTTTTAGTTTTTTGACTGCATTTACAGATTTTTATAAAATTAAGTTTCCCCTTGTGGGGACCAAAAAATGTCCCCACAACATTAAAATTTTATCACAATGTGGGGACACTTGGTCCCCACAATGTAATATACACATGGCCACACACACACACACACACACACACACACACACTCACACACACACACAGCCACACTCACACTGGCAATAAAACCATACCCTTATTCCTGTACTTTGCATTTCACGTGAATTATGCAGGTGGGGACCGGCTGTGCTCTGTGGATTTCTAAGTCAATGTGTATAAAACTGTGTAATGCACAGGATGTTGGGGAAAATAGGCTCCAGCACGGCTCCTGCACTTCCACGCACTACCAGAGGGGGGCGCCGGCAAAGTCACTGTGAGAGGAGAAATAGGGCAGCGGGTCAGGAAGAAGGACGGATGCATGAAGAAAGGAGGATCTGGGGGACGTGTTGAGGGAGACAAAGGAAGCGACAGCTTTAATGGGGCAGAAAATTGGCTGATGCGTGTTCTGTGCAGCCATGATTAATCAGAGCAGCCTCACACTCTGTCCTCAACCATCACTCCCTCCCTCAAACCTCTAAACATCCCAATATCTCCATGCTTGCCCAGGAGGGAATCTGAGGGTGTAAGAGTGGCTGGTACCTTGGAGCGGAGTCCCGCTGGTCCAGAGGGAGCGAGGTCGCCCCTTTTCTGGAACTCTGACCTCTTGATTGGGCCGTTTCTGATTGGGCTGCTTCTGATTGGGCCACTTCAGGCTCCTCCTCCTCATTTCAGAAACACAGCAGACAGGAGAGATCAGCACTGAGGCACAAAGCACGGCTTTCCGACCAATGTCTGCTTGTGCTCTGTGTGAAAGCGCGTGCTGCGGTCCTCACCGAGTCCAAGCTCTGCGTAGCGATGTCACTGCCTGGTTGCCGTGGGGATGAGAGAGGCGCTGGCTGGCTGATGACCACGGTCCCCCGGCACTGTTCCCGCGGCGAAGGGGGGGGTGTGCCCAAAAGCAGTGCCTCCGAAAGTGGAGCCTCGCACAGGCCGTAGGGGCCCAGGGGCGGGGGCAGGGGAGGGGGAGGGTGGTGGAGTCCGGCCTCAAGGGCATCATCCTCGAAATCAGACACGGGGCTGTCAGGGCGACCTGAGGGCACAAAACAGCATGGCAGGTGGGTGGGGCATGACAAGGCAGGTGGAGTTTAGGTGGGTGGGGCATGATGAGGTAGGTGGGGCATGATGAGGTGGGCAAGGTATGAGGAAGTGGACGGGGCAGGATGAGGTAGGTGGGGCATGACAAGGCAGGTGGAGTCTAGGTGGGCAGAGCATTATGGAGTGGGTAGGGCATAATGAGATGGGTGGGACATGATGAGGTGGGCAAGGCATGATGAGGTGGATGGGGCATGATGAGGTGAGCGGGGCATGATGAGGTGGGTGGGGCATGATGAGGTGGGCGGGGCATGATGAGGTGGGTGGGGCATGATGAGGTGGGCGGGGCATGATTAGGTGGGTGGGGCATGATGAGGTGGGCGGGGCATGATGAGGTGGGTGGGGCATGATGAGGTGGGCGGGGCATGATTAGGTGGGTGGGGCATAGCCCCCTGAACAGGTACACTCACTGTTGGAGGAGAAGGCCGCTTCACTCCACTTGGCATCGGCCACAGCATCAAGCCTCTGCTCAAGCTGCCGCATGTAGTCAAGCATCTCCTGTACAGATGCATTGGTTTATGCTTATTTATACTGTAAAGCTCTTCTTGGATATTCAACCCCGTATCTAAGTCGGTTATTGCAGCCAATATCTGTGGCCAAGTACAATACATGGCCTCCTCTTTACATTAGAGTAAAAGCCCCTAAATCTGATACATCTTTAGACCTGCTGTCATTCCAGTCTGCGGCGGTCAATGATCGGAACCTGCTACAAAAAGCACTAACGCTGGATAAATTTGAGGCTTTTAAGGCTTACTTATGGATGTTTTAATGATACTTGCAGATGTTTTACTTCAGTTCAATCTCATAAGGTTTTTTCCTCCTTCCCTTTCTTTTTTAAGCACTTGCCTGGTAAGCCATAATTAGAACACAGAATTGGAAAATAAGAAGCTGCCCTTAATGTACTGCCTGCTGCAATAACGGTTAAATAAAATAAATACATACATACAGACACACACACATGTTTATGTTTATGTGTATACTGTATATGTTTGTGTTATATTGTAGATTTTATGTTTACATATTGTACGTCTATGTGTGTATATTATATATTAAATGTGTGTGTATATATGTTCAGTACCAGTCAAATGTCTGGATACACCTGCTTTTAAAGCATTTGTTTATATTTTAGCTCAAGGCAATGACATTTTAGACTCTTTTGCTTTGATGACAACATTGCAGATTCTTAGCATTTTTTCAACCAGCTTCCAGAAGTAGCCACCGACAGTCAGGTTCTCAAGTTAATATACACACTACATAACCAAAGACATCCTTATCTTGCTGATTTTCAGTAGGTGTGTCCAGACTTTTGACTGGGACTGTATGTGTGTTTGTGGCCCCTGCCTGTTTCTCCAGCAGCAGCTGCTCCTTGTCGTTCTGCACCATCCTCAGACTGGCCTTCAGATCCTCCAGCCCCCGCCATGACTCACTGAGCTGCACCTGGACAAGGAACAACCTTAAAACACATAGTAATACTAATACGTAATAATAATAATGCATGCAGACATACATCCTCCATTCTGACTTGGTCACTGTGTGTTTCTCACTGTATGCAGACACACGTCCTCCATTCCGACTCGGTCACTGTGTGTTTCTCACTGTATGCAGACACACATCCTCCATTCCGGCTCGGTCACTGTGCGTTTCTCACTGTATGCAGACACACATCCTTCATTCCAGCTCTGTTACTGTGTGCTTCTCTATGTATACAAACACACATCCATTCCAACTGGGTCCCTGTGTGTTTCTCAATGCATGCACATCCACCATTCCAGTTCTATGGTTTCTTGTACCCTGCTACAGTCTCTCTCTCTTCCCAGCTCCACCTCCACCTTCTCTCTCTCCATCTTCTCCACCTGGAGGCACTTCTCCTTCTGCTGCAGCTCTTTGCTAAGTTTCTCCACCCGCTCCTTCTCTAGCTGGAGGAGGGACAGATGATCTAGTCTGAGGACTCTGCCCACCTGCCACACATTACAGCATCCATGTTCTCCTTTGTTAGCTTAGCCAACGCCTCTGGGCTCCATGGCTCCTTCTTGAACAGGACACATCCCTTTGTCCATTCCTCCCCTGACTCCCCCAATCCCCCATGTCTGAGCATGGTGCCCTCACCCGGACACCCTGCTGCAGCGCCTCTCTCTCCTGCCCCCATGCGGCACGGCTCTCCCGGAGGGCCAGGCTGCTGTCAGCGAGCTGCAGGGTGAGCTGTGCAGCCTCCAGGCGGCTCTGGTCACATCTGGCCGCCATAGCAGTGAGCTCTACTTTCAGGCCCTCAGCAGTGCCCTCGCTGGTAGCCAGACGCCCCTGCAGCTCCTGCAGGTCCTTAAGGGCTGCCTCACACTCCCCCTGAGGGGAAAGAGTCATAGTGAGACTCCAAATCTCTTCCACATTAGAGTATTGGTGAGTCTCTGGCCCATCGCAGAGTCTTGCTGAGTCTCTGACACATCACAGAGTCATGCTGAGTCTCTGGCACATCACAGAGTCATGCTGAGTCTCTGGCACATCACAGAGTCATGATGAGTCTCTGGCACATCACAGAGTCATGCTGAGTCTCTGGCACATCACAGAGTCTCAGGATGCTTTTCCACTGCATCAGGCACCGAACGTTTGGTACTAAAAATTCTGTTTCCCTTTTCCATTGATTTCTAGTCAGGCACCAGTACTTGTAACACCAAACCAGCTGGGGTACTTTTTCGGTACTTTGGGGCAGAAAATGTAAACATGTTTATTGTTTATGCAAATATCCTGCTTCTCAAACACAAAATGCATCAGCTACACTAAAAAAGCATAGTAATGAATTCAGAAAATAAATAAACGATAAACAAAGTAATAATGAATGAATGGACAAATGAAGAGACCTAAGCTCTAATTGTGATCTGGTTGGAATAACAGATTCAATGAGACATGGATGGCAGTATTTGCTATAATATACTAGGGCTGTCCGATATTAGAAAATTTTCAAATATCGCCATGTGATTTTGTTACAATAATATTATAACATCACAATAATATTATAGGGATATTTGCAAAGCAAAAAAGGAATTAAAAATAAATTTCTCACAAACCCCATCCAAGAATGATTTAAACAGCAAGGATGAAAAAGATTTTGATTGTCTCAGAGTGCATGTAGAGCTCAAGGCAAAAGCACCAGAGATAAACTTCGAATTGATTTTTTAAACATATACTAGGTAATCTTGAAAAGGAACATTCATTCAAATTACAAAGCTTGCTAAGTTTTGTTTCCTATGATGGAGTAAAAATGTTTTAGCAAAACTTAAACTCCCCCTGCACTATAATGTCTGGACAGTATGAAAGTAGGAAAAAGCCTGATCTCAACCCAGCTGACTATCACAGTCCTTGCAATATGAGAACTACATGTGTTTAACATGACATTTATTTTGCACATTACCCAGCGCTACAATATACTACAGCCATTTTTCAAATTCAGTACAAAATATCCTGCCTCATGTTGTGATGATGTCATTCAGCACCAGTGCCAAACTACTGACTAAAAGTGTGGCACCTGATGCAGCTGAAAAACGCTCATTGTGATTCCTCAGGCTCATGAGAAAGTCATGCTGAGTCCTGATGAGGCACGTCAGACATTCCCCCTCTGCCCCCCCCCCCCCCCCCCCGGCCTCTGACCTCCTTCCTCTGCGCGGCCTGCAGTTTGCCACTGAGTGTGCTGATGGTGCCCCTCAGCTGCAGCACCTGCGTGTCCCTCTGTGCCAGCAAGCTCCGCAGCTCCTGAAACTCGCTCCCCAGGGTGCGCAGATCTGCCTCCGACTGCTCCAGCTGGGCCTGGGGGGGAGGGGGGGAGGGGCAGGGAGGCTGTGCTGAAGGTTCTGGGTGAATCATGCGGCACGCAGGACATGCGAGCGGGAGGGGGGGTTCCAACCTTCAGGCACTGCATCTCCTCATCCTCATCCCTCTTCTGTGCCGTTAGGTTCTGCATGCGCTCCCTCATCCTGCAGATGGATGGAGCCGGTTAGCTGGCTGCAATGCCGCATGGTACCATGTGGGGGCGGTATGTGCAGCATGTTGGGGGGGGGGGGGGGGGGGGGAGGCGGCTCTCACCTGTCCAGCTCAGCTTCCTTCTCCAAGCCCCTGAGCATGACGCTCTTCGCCTGCTCCTCCAGCTCCCAGATCCTCTTCTGGTTCTCTGCTTTGTCCACCATCAGACCCTCACGTTCTGTAGATATCATCTGGGGGGCAGACAGATGCAGTTTAAAGCCCCCTAATGGCTCACAGTTCAGCTCCCCCCCCCCCCCCCCCGGTGTGGGCCTTTCCTACTCACCTCCCGCTCCTTCTCCAACTCCTCCACCTTCTCCTTTGTCCGTGTCAGCCTTTCCTTCAGCTCCGCCAAGCTGCCCTCCAGCTCCGCCCTGGCCAGGCCACTCTGCATCTCCACCCGCTCCCTCAGCTCCCTCTCTACCTCCCGGCTGCGCTCTGCGGCATCCCGGGCCCGCAGCAGCTCGGAGCGCTCCCGCAGGAGGTCCTCCAGCCGGCCCTTTCCCCAGGAGGAGGAGAACAGATCCAATTTACTGCTTGAGCGATTCCTAGACACCTGTAGCGGCTCATTTCCATTCATCCTCCCCCAAATCCCCTGCCTGTGGCTTTTATTACCCCCCATTTACTGCTGTGCCCCCCCGCCCTCACCTGCAGCAGCTCAGCCCGCGGCACCACCAGCAGCAGGTCTGCCCCCCCGTCCTCGCCAGACCCCTCCTGCTCGAGGGTCACCAGGTCCTCCAGTGGTTTGGGGGCGCAGAACGTGAACGGCGAGCTGCGGGCGCAAACCTCCCCCTTCCCATCGATGTACACGAACTGGAAGGGGTCCGTCCCAGAGCGGGGCAGGTATGACGCTGGGGCGGGATAGGGAGGGTTAGGGTTAGGGTTAGGGTTAGAATGGTGACAAACACCATCTACAGGCAGGCCGGTCTGACTGTAATCTAGTAGGAAACACAGTTAAGTATCTTTTCCGATTACCTTTAGTAATCAAGCCTTATCTTTACTTAGAGACGTTTATCGGTGTTAAGGTGAGGCACACGGCACACTGACATATTGCTGTATTGGGTTCTCTTCCCGGCACCGATTGCCCTGTCCTGACTGACAAACGGCTCGTGTTCCCCTCTGTGACTTACAGCTTCATTAACTGAACTTTGAACAATAGTTCCTGGGCCGCGTTTTCACAAGGTCGTTAAGACCGCAGGCCTCGCTGTCTAATTAGTCTCGCCGTAACGGCAGCGCGTCCATCCTCCACCCGCTCCTCCAACTGCTTCTGTCCTTCTCTTTCTGCTTTTAATCATTCAGTCGGATCCCGTCACTGACAAATTCCATTTATCATCTGACAAAGACACATTAATCCGGACGGGCGGAGGAGCGGCGAACGACTCGCACTGCATATAAAGTCGTCGGCCACCTTTACCACATGCCATCTAATGATGTCCCACAGGAAACCTTCTATGAGTCAAGAGCCATTTTAACGAGCCCTGCACAGACCCCTCAATGAAGAGCGAAATCTAAAACCACTCAATCAGCGTGGAGCCAGACTCCCGTGGTGCTCTAACCCCGGTAGTGCCTTCGGCTCTGGAGCAAAGCGAAGAAGTACCTTGGAAATGCACACAGCAGTTCACAGCCGCTCCCGCCTGGTACCCAGTCGGAGCCAGGGCCCAGACAAACGTGTGGTAATCCCTCACCGATGACCAGCCCACCTGAGGGACACGCAGGGACACTGTCAGCCTCACGAGCCAAATATTCCATTACAGTAATGCCTCCACACTGAACAGACCAGCACATAATGCCATCCACTTCACATTTTTATTTATTTAGCAAATGCTTTTATCCAAAGCAATATTTTTTATTGAGAAAATAGGGTCAGACAGTTCCTGGAGCTTCCTGGGATTTGAACCGGCGACCTTCTGATCACAGGCCCGCCATGTCGAGCCAAACAGCATCTTTTTCGTTCCATCTGAGCAAGCCAGCACAAAAGATCCATACCTTAAAAAGCCCGATCCAGTCACTGCTGCTCCAGAGATGCTGGGCCCCTAAGCTGTAATGGCACTCGACTCGGCTTTGGGGAAAGTAGGTCCGCCCCACGTTCCTGAACTCCACCTTCCAGGTCCCCTCCATGGTGAGTATGCAACCTGAGCCCAGGCACTTCCAGCTGCGTGAGGGAGGAAGGGGAGAAATAAACACAGTCATTCACACAACAGACATGCCGTCCCTGCAAGCAAACACACACTCGGCTATCATAGGGCAGGACAATTAATGCAGCAACAAGAAGATGGGAGCAGATGGTGGTGCTGGGGACCTGAGCACTAAAGCCTCCTTTCAAAGGCATCTTGTGCCCATTTTGTGCTTCTTCCAAAATCGCCACACCTCCCCAGTTGACAACTTTTACCATCTAGCACCTGCCCCCAAACAGACTCCACACGAACCTGAGTAAGGATTACCGATAATAAAGACAAAAATTCAGTCCATCGGAGTTTTGCTTACACAAAAGTGTTCTGAGGGCAGAACAAAATATGACTGGTTCAGAGAGATAACCAATCAGACTGTAGAGGAGGTGGGTCCAAGCAAACAGATCAGCAATCACATGTCTTGGTCGCACCTACTCTAGTTGCTTGGACCCACCTCTTCTATAATCTTATTGGTTATCTCTCTGAACCAATCATTTTTTGTTCTGCTCTCAGAATATTTTTGTGTATGTAAAACTCTTCCAAGCAAAAAAATCAACTTTCCTGTTTTTGCGCATCCGACTTAAATTGTCAGTGCTGAACATCCAACAGGGGAAGCTGTGGGCAATTCCCAACGGCTGGAGCAGCCAAAAGATGAAGGCTCATTTCACAATCTCACTAACCGCTTACTGGCTAACGGCTAACACTTTTGGGGTCGATGACTATCACGGTAGAGGGAAGGTACGATACCTCTGCTCACACTGTTAATCACCTATAATGTCATTTCATGTATTTGTTCAAAAAAGAAACAAAACAGCCAAAAAGATAATGCAGGACAGCAGGAAAGTTTGTTTACTGTCAACAAAAGATGAAATAATATATCTTCATACACACGTTCATCAATCCTGGGTAAAAGACCAGTCTGATTCAGTAACGAGCTCAGATTCAAGTTATGATTACCAAAAAGCAATATAGTACTGATGCTTGCAGTTGATGGTTATGTTCCCTGGTCTCATGGTGGTCAAAGCACTCATTGATTCAGGTAACTGATGTTTTTATTTATATTAACTTTGTTTCATGGTGCTCAGTTACTCTGGGCTGCTGACGGCACAGAAGCGGCTCAGCGTCCATATGCAGCCCATCAGGAGGGGAAGAACAGTTGGAAAATGGGTGAAAGGTAAAGTGTTGGGAAACACTCCCAGGAGTCCTGGGGTGTTTTTTTCTGAGAAGGAGTAAGGGGGGATGCTGCAACTTGAGAAGATCATCGAGCTTCTGCCATATGACCGAGAAGCCACGTCTGTCATAAACAGATCGGCCCAAAACACCAGCCCGCGGATGACCGGCCGGTACGTTACAACAGGGATCACATGGGCCACAGCTAAATCAGTAATACGAAGTTTTAATCATGCAGCCTAAAGGAATTTAAAAACGGATACATTATACTTCAATTAGATTTCTGGGCCCGATCTGCCATGATGACCTTGATAAACACACACATGTGTGTGGGAATCTCGGTAGGACGGGGGGAGATGCTGCCCGGTCACTCTACCGGGAGGACTGAGCAGCGGCAGCACAGTTTTTATAATTGTTACATGACGTTGTTATAGGAAAATGCCACCGGTATCCTCACTTATCAATGCACATCAACGACCAGTCCTACTCCGCACCGGCGGGACGGTACGAAGCTAGAATCTGCCGGTGGTCTCCCAAAATCCTACGCCAACCAACAGCAATCTCTGAGATGCATAAAACCTTATATAACCTCACTGCAGCTTATTACAAAATTCATACAAGCAATGTTAACAAGATCACGAAATACTCACCCGTCGTAGACAGACTTATAAACCAACTACAAGTAAAATCATTCAACACTATAAATGATCCTTTGTTTCAGGGTTTCTCCAGAATAAACAAAAATGAGCAGATCTCGTCCTCGAAGTATCACTTGCTCTAACTCAGCGCCTATAACAACAATAACAAAAACACTGATATGACGGCACTGTGCGTTTCAGGAAGAATGGGAAATGTAGTTTTAAATTAGCCGTAGGACGTATATAATATCCCTATAAAGACTACAGTTTCCAAGTAAGGCAAAAGGCCGGAAGCAGAGTGCTGTGTCCGGCCCTGACGTCTCTGGAGTATGAAGTGTGATCTGTGCATTTATCCCCTACGTACCCTCCGAATTAATGTTACTCACGCTGGGTGAAGTTTAATACAAACGTGATGTTCTCCTTTTTCTCAGAGAACGAACTTAACCACTTTAGCAGCTGCGAACAATAAACTAATGCATTTTTTTGGAAATACACCATCGTCATCATAAATTACACCGTTATAAAAAATATATCCTTAAATGTCAAAACAAAAATCAGCTTTAAATTCGAATAAAAAATCAAAGCAGAGACATGACCTTGGTAAACAGCGTGTCGGGTTGCAGCTGACGCTCGGTAACCTGAGACCGGAGAGTGGGGGGGCCGCCGGATTTCATCATTAACGCGGCACCGAGTGTCTGCGTCTCTATGTCTCTGTCGTGTGTTATTCAGACCTTAACGTGTCTCTGTCTTGCATATTTTTTCATTGTCAGTTGTGTGTTTTTAAAAGACCAGTGAATGTATGTCTGTTATTCAAAGAACAATGCGTCCACATCTGTTTTTCAGACCACAGCGTGTATCCCAGTTCAAACGGCAAAGTGCGTCTGCCTTATTCAGTATGCTTAGGGCCATTAATTGTATACTTATCACTGTGGCTAGAAGAATGAATACTCAGAGCTTTTCTCTGTTTTTTCCCCTTTGCTTTGCAATGCGTGCACCCTAAACGTTTATTTTCCTAAATAAATTGTTATATTTTCCCAAGTTATATTTTCTCATGTGGCCACCAGATGGCGCTGCGCTTAAATCTTTGCTTGACACCCGGTAATAAAAGATTTGCGGCATGGCAACTATGTGAATCTTCGAGAAGTGTGGTGGTGCTGTTCTGCTTTGCTGGTGTTGATTTAGTGCATACACAGTTCTGATAATGCTGTGTAGGGCCTTTCCATTTTGCTGTTGTTGATAAAAGTGCATCTGGCCCGTTCCTTGTCCGTCCTGAGCTGAAACTCATTACTCATTAATCAATGGGTAATTCATGCCATACCTTCACTGTAACTCAACAGGTCAGCGGTCTGACAATAGAATTAAATAGTATACAGCTCCAGTGTCAAATTCCATAGATTGTTTCATGTTTACCACCTACAGCTTTGCTTTAATCTGTTGTTGTATGGAGATTGTAAATACTTGGAGGACCAGCCTTTGTTTTCATTAAAGTTTGGCTTCAGTCATAGCTTTTGGTCATTATATTAATCTGAAATGTCAATTACATACTTTTACAACTGTAGAGACAAAATGGCTGGATCATCTGTGCACAATAAGTTTCAAAGCTGAAGTTCACTGTTTAATTGTTTGAGGTTTTTGTAACTGACTCATTTCTTATTTGTTTCTTTGTTCCTTGGGGCTCTTGGAGGCAAAGTGCCATGGATTGGCCATTTATAATGTTTGAACTTTCCAATTTAGGTTTGTAAGGTTTTGGCCATTGCCTGCTTTGTGTTTTGGTTTCTGTGGCCAGTTACTAAACACATAGTGGAATGTGTCTCTCCTTTCCATGAACTGGAACCAAGAAACTTAGATGTATTTTTGTAACAGAACAGTAAGAATGACCAAAACCCTGCTTCGCTTAGTTCACGAAACAACCCAAATACCAAATGAAAGTAAGAAATACACATTCTTGGCAACGACTGGCTTGCAGCTTTCCTGGCCAAAGAAATCTGCGTGACAGAATGTGTCTGTCTCTATATGCACGTGTGCATCTCTGGCATCTCTACATTCAGCTTTATTTTTATTAATAAGACTAATGCGCTACACTTATGAGCAACCCATTCTCCAGTATGACAGATACTTAACGATATCCTGATGTAAACATCAGGGAAAGGCACACTGACCTATTGAATACACCAAGCTGTAGGTAGGAACTTTGCTACCGTGGGCTCCAGCCTGACTGATATCACTGCTGCACGCTCTATTGACCTGGCTGCTGTTGAAATATGTAGATGTTTCCCAGAATGCTTAGCACCCTCAATGCAGCTGTAGGCTAAAATTCAGCATTAATCACAGCATGGCCTGATAATATTGCATCTTCAGTAAATATACGGTGTAACAAATTTCAGCAAAGCTTTTTATTTTTGAGCAGTTTACAGACTACGTTTTTTTCTAATGTAACCTGACATGGAAAGCAAGTTTTAATGGAGAGAATTGTGCGAACCGGCCTTCTTACAGAAGGGGTCATACGTTCACAGGAACCTCTGATCCACACCCCCCCAGCCAGAGTGTGGCGTAAATGTTAAATGTCACCACTGCCTGAAAGCCAGCACAGCAAAGCTGAGGAACAGCTGATTCTCCAGTCAATTTGGGGCCTCCATGAGTTGAGTGTCTACGACCCACACTTAACATCAGCCTGCTCACCATGCACACATCCAGTCCCATATCTACTGCCATAGTGCACCTCATGTATGGAAATACTGACTCATTCATTAGACTCTTTGCATACCACCTGACACCCTACTACTCCAATGCACACTGCGCATGGTTACATTTGATTATTGTTTATTGTTTGATTGGTAACACTTTAGTTGAGGGGACACAAATAACGTAGCAGCACACCCTTACTTAATGCATTAATTAACCAGAAACTAAGTGTTAGTTATATACTGATCCCATGTTCGTTTATGATTAATCAGTGGTAATGCTTCATGTATTTCATGCAGTTACTATATTTGTGTTTCAGTAGTAACTGATGAAGTTACTTGTGCCCCTTCGAGTGAAGTGTTACCATCCATCACTGTAACTGCCTAATCCCGACTGGGGTTGCAGGAGCCTATCCCACGAACAAAGGGCATAGGTGGGAACCAACCCTGGGCAGTTGCCACCACAGAGCAAATTTAGACTTGCCAATCAACCTGCCCTGCTCACTTTTGGACCGTGGGAGGAAACCGGAGCCACCGGCGGAAACCCACACAAACACGGGGAGAGTGTGTGAACTCCACACAGAAAGGACCTGGGACCCAACCCGGGACCCGACCCGGGACCCAACCCGGAACCTTCTTGCTGTTAGGCAGCAGCGCTAACCACTGCACCACTGTGCCACCCCGCAAAGTGTTACCATTTAATGTTTTATCGCTTGATACTTTTTGCAGTTCTTGCAAACAAGCACTATACAGACGTTCCTCTACTTACGAACTTTCAGACATACGAACGAAGAGGACTGCAGGTCCAAATTGTGTTCATTGGGCTCCCGTTTCTTGTCCGCAACATCAATTTCTTTTTCTGCACACCAATTCCGCCCAGCACGACTTCTGGCCACTACTCCCGCCGCGCAGCAGCGTAGCGTGCGTACTCCCAGCATCCTAGTTCTTTGTACTTGTGTATACCCTTAAAATGATGTTGAATAACAACTTAAGAACACTTCAAGTTATGAGCAGCCATTCAGAACGTATCGCATTCGTAAGTAGAGGAGTGTCTGTATTCAGTATTGTGCTGAGTATAACTATATGTGAAGAATCGATGACTCTGTACTCAGCTAACTACTGAGGGTCCCAGTGCTCCTTTGCTGAAATTTTAAATGTACCATGCTGTCATAGCACACACATACACACACACACATATAAAATATATCTGCATACCATTAAGGGGTGGCATGGTGGTGCACTGGTTAGCTATATTACCTCACACCTCTGGGTCTTGGGTTTGTGTCTCTACCTGGGTTCCATATATGTGGAGATTGCATGTTCTTCCCATGTCATTGTGGGGTTTCCTGCAGGAAATTGCTGAGGCTATTGCCCATAGGTGTGCATGTGTGAGCGAGCCCTGTGATGGGTTGGCACCCCATCCTGGGTTGTTCCCTGCTTTGTGTCTATAGCCTTTGGGATAGAGAGAAAATATGTGGATATATCCTGATAAGTTAGCATATATGCTGGTAAAAAATACAAGCAACTGAGGTGTGTCTGCCAAATTATCTGCTAAAATCTGAGTTATTCCCAAACTGTGGATATAAGCCAGTATGACGTGCTGGTGGGCTTCTACATTGCTGATGCAGACACTCCAAGCCCACTAAACACCACTGACTTTCATGTTATGGGTCCATTTTTGATGGAGCCCTTCTTTGTAATTGTGATTCAGTAAAAAAAAAAAAAAAATAATAATAATTAAATTAAAAATAATAATAATAATTAATAAAAAATCACAAACATGCTGGCAGTTTTAATTTGACTGTATCATGATTTATGACCAGGACGTCTCGGTGTAGTGGAAATTCTTTGAGGGATTATGGTTCACTACCATCCAGCTATGTCAGTATATTATCATATTGGCAGTATTAACTAACTGCATTGTTAACATCTCCCCTGTGTGACATTTTTATTATTATTATTGAAGCCGCATTTAGACGCAAATGAAAGGAGACCCAGACCTGACAGCCTCCATTCAGCTTGTTGACGAGGTAAGTAGGACATCCTACAACTACTGTGCTGGTCAGGGGCTGAGGACGGTGTGAATGCCATGTGTGAGCCGGGAATGCGTCGGATTAGACTTACAATTACAAGTACAATTACAATTACAATTAACTTTATTGATCCCAGAGGGAAATTCTAGTGCATTCAGCAGTGAGCATGTAGAGCACAGACAAACATACATTCTGTGGAAAAGACAAGGTGCAAGACAGTATACAAAGTGCACACAAAACAAGAAACAGTTACATGCAACGTGCAAACAGATTTAATGATACACAGAAATAGAATCCTGAGAAACAGGATAATACAAATATTAATGAAATAAATATTAAGACGGGAAACAGTAATCCATAAATAAATCAGTGGAGGTAATGTGCCAGAAAGCAGATAGCACCGGACATTACTACTGCAAGATGAGCTGCTTCCTGACATGTTATGGCGGGCGATGGCATGCAAGGCGGAGG